ATTTTAACATTTGGGATTCTCGAACAAAGCCTGCCTTGCGTTAACCGTCACAGGAAGTCCATGCACTTCATATTGTCGGTAGACAAGCAGACGAAGGCGTGTCTTCATACGTTGGGCCCAGGTTGTGTGGCGCAAACGCTTGGACAAAGCCCTTTAGGTCACTCCTAACAAAACCACAAGCTCCTGCTGCGTTAGCGCTGAGTCTTCATCCAGTAGGGCATGTAATTCCACATCTTCAAACTTTCGAGGCTGCTCTCCGGGCGCGGCTGGTCACCAAGATCGAAATCACCACTTCCAAAACGTTTGAACCAGTAATTTGTCGTTTCATACGACACACCTTTAGGCACCACGACTACTACAAATGGATTCCCGTGTTAAATACAATTTTAAGCTTAAAGAAAAAATTTGCACAAATTAAGCCGCACACCTAATATATGAAAACTGAATAATGACAAAAGGGAAAGCTTAAGTTCATAGTCAACCGTAACAATAGATTTACGATTTAATCTTGTCGACACAATCAGAAAAGTTGGCGGTTTTTATTCAACTTTGAAATTGGTACAATTTTTAATCCGCATTGAAACACCCTCTCTCTCGAGGAAAAAAAGGAGGGAGCGGCTAAAGCCACGCTATGGGTAGAGGTTAAAATTTCATATGGCAACCAAGCCGGACAAAGAATTTAGTACCAATGATTAGGCAATTGCACGCATGGAAATTGCATCGTGTGTTGCATGAAATCGGTTGAGAAAAAAATGTCCTAACTTTTGATAAAACAGAAGCGTAAACAACGTTGCAAAGGAAAACTGCGCTCTACAATGGACAAGATCAAAGGGTTCAGAAGTGTTTTTTGGCCAACAAAATGTTTTTGCCAGTTAAAACCCAAGCGAGTCAATGTACATGTGAGAAAATACGAACCGCCAGTAAGCGGTATTTGCTCAGAGTGGTGTGTCCTGGTAAAGACGCGATTATAATAACTGAAAAAACTAGAAGGATCCTTTACGGTTGTTGTGCTAAGCACAGTAGGGTGTTAAACAGCAGTTAACCAGATATAAGCAGGCCCTTCGCACTTTGGCTTGATGAAACTATGGGCGTGATGCCTGGTCAAACACTTGGCAGCCGAGTGGCGGTGAAACATGAGCACTGCTGATCGGGGCACAGCAAAAGAGAAGGGAAACTCAGAAGAGGGGGTGGGGGGGGGGAATGACCGAATTGCCGCCGCAAACATTTTCTCAGCAGACACGGTCAGTTCCCTTGCCACCTTCAAAACGCCATTAATGAAATGCAGTTAAAGCCAATGTGTAGGAGGGTTACTGCTCCGAACCCTCTAAAATCTACAGGCACGCGTTGATGAACACGTACTTGGTTGGTTGAACACTTAATAGCTACTGCCCTCACCCAGGCGTGATAGCTGATAATCCGCTACAAGTAGTCCCTCTGAAGATTTGGCCTTATCATAAACTTGACAACCAAACCGTTTCCTATTACAAAACAACCGAATAATGTGAATAATGACATTTCCTATTTTAACGGTATTGAAGTCGAACCGAAGCCACGACAGTTTGAAAGCGGTGAGAACCAGCCTTTTGACAGACGCTTAGACAATGCTTGACTGATACACGCGAATAATTTGTTCCAGCCGCCAAATTTAAATGTGAGATTGCCAGTAGATCTTTGAACCTCGTGTAAACTAACTTCAAATTCAATGCCCCAATGGATAAATGAAACGGCGCGCTCACACAAACACATTGCTTGGTTTGGAATTACGTGATAAGACGAAAAACCCAAATGCCCAGTTAGTCGAACCATTAGAAAGCCAATTACTGAAAGTCATTGAACTTCTTTCTCCTAGGCTGTCATCTAAAAATTTAGAGGTGACGCTGTCTCTAGGCACTACGACTTATCTGTCGGAGTGGATCGCTCCCTAGAGTAAGCGCACCAATAGCAGTGGATGTCCTGAATTGGCTCAAGACCACCTCAATGAAGAATTTATGATTACTTCTGGATTGTTGGTGCTTACGGTGAAACGGTGCACCCTCCGGAGTCCAGTTTAGAGGGCGGAATGACAGGGGAGGGCGGAGGAGGGGGCGAGTTCTTCGAACCGCGGCATTTCGGTGGAGGGGACATGGAGCGTTGGTTGCGCGAAGACGGTTCTACGGACGACGAGGCGTCCGCCTCCACCGGACTTCGAAGGCAAGTCGGCACTTTCGCGGTTGTGGATGGGCTCTAAACAAATTCACACCAGGTGAGAAAGTGTTTCATAATGGGGGGAGGGTGGGTTGATTGTAGGGCATTGATAAGCAAAGTCGACAATCGCGAAACAAGTGCGAGCCAAATAATCATCACTGCCTACAAAACCAACCTTATCTACACTTAGAAGAGACAGCTTTTTGTGCTTTTTAGATATCTACACTTTGTGCCGAAGGTGCTAGGCTAGAAACTTGACCTGGTGAAGCCACATTTAAGAAGGTACTCACAGTTTGTTCAATTTAGGTACTTATAAAATTGTGAAAAGGTTCTAATAATGCCCTATTCCAGAGAAGAAAAGATTTATCCATGCAAGCACGAACGCGTTGAGAGCCAGGACCACACGCAAACTTTGAGGTAGCGTAGTAGTTTTTATACAGTTGGCCAGCCAGCTGGTGAGAATTCGCATCATGTTTATCGCGCAATTGTATACTCCACCACGCACCACTGCACCACAAACAATGAAGCCCACGTAAGCGGTGTAAGTAACAAGAGGCTGAATACACCCCACACATTCCCTGTGCCCGCGTTTAGGCGTCGACGCCTGAAACCACCCAAACGAAGGTAGCCCAATGAAGACGCAACCTGCGCCGCCACTAAGAAAGCGAGTTAAATTAGAGCCAAATTCACGCAAGGCGGTCCGACTAATGCAGGTTTTTGTGCATCTTCGCCAGATAACAGGTGGATGAGGTGGAGTGTGCAGGCAAATAAAACGAAATGTTCAAAAATAAAAAAAAGGTGAAGAAAAAGGGGAGATGTTTTGTTGCAATTCCACTTGCACCGCTTTAACTTGGGTTATTTTAAATCTGAAGGCAAGCGGGAGTTTTTGCGACGAAAAAACCACTTCTTGCCCTTGGGCAAGAAACCAAAAAATGCCATCGCCTCTGGCGCGTTGCAGCTTGCATAAGCTGATGCTCTAATTTGGGTAGAACAACAGATGTGCTCATTCAAACTAACTGAATCGTCGTATTTGACTGTGTTGGTGTGGATGAAGGCACGGTTTATAGGTCTCCACAGGATCTGAAAAGCGTTCGTTGGATCGAAAAGCCAAGATCTGCCGCAAGCAAACACACACCGTTACTAAGATTCTTGACGAATAGCACAAAGCGAATCGCGCCTTATGCATCTACGTCCTGCCATTACGAAAAACATGACTTTTCCAACAAAAAAATGTGGTCATATTTGAAGACGTGGGAGTGTTTGTCGCTGCGAATTGCGAAGAAAACGTTTTAGTATGCAAAACATCAGTTTTGCATACTAAAACGTTCGAAACACAACATCCTCTTAATCTGTGCGTGTTGTGGAGAAATCATAGTTTTTATCCGGCTTTGGAGTTAGTGGTCCCTGCCATTTCACCGTTTCGAGGTATTTTAGGTACAACACACACATCCTACCTGATCCATCTCGCAGCAGCAACCGATGACTGTACGCGGTTTGGTGACTTAAAATACACACCAAAATGCACACTACACAATCCGCCGTCTACCCTAACGCAAGAAAAGGACAACTGCCTTAGTACTTGACATTATTTCGCTGTCTGACAAACGATGCGGTTTTGGCAGGGCAAACTGCATGACTAATCTGTCGGTCGGGCATATTGCTACAATGCTACACCGTGAATAAGTACATGAAAAAGCCTGGGAAGTGGTGCTACAACCGGACAAGTGTTTTCCTTCGCCATGGGAGGAGGATTGTGCACGAATCCGTCCCCAGTGCAGAGGAGAACATCTGCTTCGCCAAGTTATCCACTAAGCCATTCAGGGAGGGGAGGTGTTGGTTTGAGTGACAGACGCCCACGCCTTTTCAAACAAAACCCTCTGTTGACCTCCCTCCCCCCGCCTGCACGGGAGCCAGTGACGCCTTTGTTTCATTTTGCCTTAGGCAGAAGGCGCCGGTTTCCAACTGTTTTACTGAGTTAATCGTTAAGCAAAACAGAGCACCGCAAGGTTATTGATCGTTAACTTGTAGGAACATTAAAGTGACTTAAATTTGAATGGCAAAAATGAAAGTTTCTGCTGTGTGACGGGAGATAACACGATTCCCAAGTCTTGATAAATCGAAACTCAAGCAGTTAAATAATACTATTTTGTAAAATCACTCTGAGGTCATTTAGACATAGTTGTACGAAAATTCCTGATTAAGTTGCTTAGCCACCGTTGATGGTGCTACCTCACCTGCTGACAACCGAATCGATCACATTGCCAAGTTTGATAAAACACGACGTACCGTGGGTATTAAGTTTGACAATGATAATTCGGCTTGGGCGGGAACTAGATTTGAATTTAGGAAGAGTGTGGTTTTCGAGAGTAAACCGGAGTTCTTTTGGAGGGTTGGATCAAATCCTGAACGTGAAATATGGTCTTTAGTGGCCATCAGTGCAGAGGCTAATTATGGACATCACGCATTCTGGACGTGAAAGGAAATATAATTTGGGCTAAGCAACTGCCACTTGACAATGATAAACCACATCGTAGTTGAGGCAACACAACCACCACTATAGCACGTGGTTTGAAGAATGCAGATCGGGCAGAGAGGAATCTCACTTCTGGGAAGCACAGATGGAAGGGCCAGTCACACCGCCAACAACAGCTGTAGTCAACTAGCACTGGTTTTATTACTTCATAAAATTAATGGCTAAATCAATGTGTCAAACCTGCCACGAAAATATGTTTGTTTGCTTATCAGCTAAGCCTTTGCGAGTATGAACCTGCCGGCCAAGCTGTTGGGCTAGAACCTGGGCATCTAGAAAGGAGACACTCGAGAGCACACTAGCGACACCTCGATCACAACATTCCGACCAAGATTTAAGTCGGGTGAAGGCATCCAAGAATGAGCCCTCGACAACACTTATGCACTCGGTGAGATACTGCGCACTCGAAAGCAGGAAAAACTGGCGCGCGCGCGCTTATTTGACGTTACACGTGGTGCAGTTAGCATCCCAAGATTTTGATAGCAAGCCTCTATTGTCCGACAAATCGCGAGTCCTGTACCTCAGAACGCTACATTCACATCCCGTAGTCAGGCATCGTGATTGGCACATAAAATATCCACTACAATGCAAAATGCGGCACGGACTAGAGATCAAAAACAACAATTCGTGTTTCCCAACGTGGTCGAACGAAACACACAAACTTCAATCAATCACGACATGCCAATTTTACAGGCAGTAAAAATCCCAAACTTCGCGATGCGCGGCAGCAAAGAAGGCACATGTGTGTCTGCCATTCGGATGCTGGGAATATGAGATCTCACCCGCTGATCGGTTGGCAGTTAAAATAACTTACCCACCACTACAAGGACGCTTTGCTTAAATTACGCACGACAATAACCCTCAGTGCAATAATTGCATTCGTTCCGTCACTAAAACTTTTGAAAAACCAGAACACTCTATGGCAATTTTGAAAAAAAAAAAACATCCTCCAACACTTTGTGCGATCATCCTACTTACAAATGTGGCTAGGAAACACCGTTTGTACAACCCTACCTCCCGTGCCGCCTGAAATGACATTTTACGGCAAGAAGAGTAAAAAATGCGCTTTACTCCATATCTGAACTGGTTAGAACTTGACAATGCTAACATTTGCAGTAGCAACCTTCTTTTGTAGTTACTTGGCAGAATGCTTAATTCTACCATGCAGGCAGCAGCAATACCATCCCCTTACGCCTAGCCTGAGCTCATCCCGGCTCATTCTACGTCCCAGGATATAATATATCCTAAAAAGGTCTGCCCCTGCGGCCAGAACGTCCAACACCGTCCTTGTTTAGTCGCTTGGTGAACCACACTCTAACTCCCATCCTAACAATGGCTCCTAGAATTGGTGGCTGCAGCATCGTCATCAAATTCCACAACCTCGTACAGTACAAAATCACACAGGCGCATTTTTGCTACACACAAATAACGGAGTCACATCACGGACTCGACAGCTCGATAGGTACGTAGGTACAAAACTATTTCCAGTGGCCAGAAAATGTGTAGTTTGATGGGTACTGAAATACGCTATGACTGATTATGCAGTGAGCTATCATAGTCTACTACACCTTTCAGTTTTAAAACCGTAGGTCAATTTTGGGGGCATCGAAGGGACGGCATTTTCCGAGTTTACACATTGCAGACGTGGGAAATGTTTTATCACAGAGCATGTTTTGCTTGGATAAAATTTTAAAATGAGCCAAATCCATTGAGCAAGTTTTGCGTGTTTATGTATGGTAAAGTCCTGAACATTAGCCGAAAAAGCTCTACTATTGAACGCAGCGAAAACAAACGTTTCATTGATAGAGTGTAAACCCTAATTTGCAAGGATATTTCATGACAGTAAAGACCCGAATATCAGTTGGAAACAAAGTTCCGGAAACAGCAAGACTGATTCCTCAACTCGTGCATTGCAATGGTACTGTTCTAGCCACTTTTAAATGAATTTCGACTTGATGAGACAAACGAAGTGAGCAGTGTTTGTGTGGAAATACGTTTGTGGTAGGACAGTTATCGCATTTCATAAATTCAAAAGTTTGTTCAAGGTACTATAGAGCAAAATTCGGGCGATAATTGTGGGAATTCCTGTTTTGATAGGTGGCTGATAATGTTTCTACAAAGTTATTTAAACGGAGGGGTAGGTACATGCCGATGTTTCCATTAAAACAAATAACGAGAAATTCGATACAAACACAACGGCGCGCGCACACAAATTTATACAATTGTTTACACAAGGTGGAATCTTCACTGTTTGAATATTGATTATGCGTACAAAAACAGCCATTAAATACGTCAGAAGGTGACACGTGGAAATGCTATTAGGTATCACTCTAAAAAACACGTTCCGCCTTTTTTTTTAATGCCTAATTTGCATGGGCCACGTGAGTAGTTTCCGTCGTGGAACGACTTGAAATGCTCTAGCAAATCGCAGTTCAAATTAGGATACTTAAAAAATTATCCAGCTTTCGCTTGAACATAAAATTCCCACACGTATTTCTGCTCATGAGAGGCTACCAAAGTGCATTTGCCTTACATGCTTTATGCAGTTCACTGATTTAAAAGCGACCATTTGAAACGCAGTTTGCCGCTTTCTTCGCTGCAAACTTGTTTGTAGGCCAGACATTTATTCGTACTTTTGGAGTCACGTTCACTGAACTAAAAGGAAATCGTAGCCAAGTAGTTGACACTATGTGACCCTACTGCCACCAGTTTACTAGGACCATTTACACTTCAATTGTAACGGAGTGCTGTAAATTTGGCCGGGTGTATTTATGAAATGTGGAGTTAAACGGAGCTCATAAAACGCATTAGACGCAAATAGACTCTTCACACTAAGTAGCAAAAATTGGATCGCGGTTTTGGTGCTTGTAAGTGTACTACCGTCTGTTGAAACTAAACGAAGAATTGAAGAGGCTGAGGTGGTGGCATAGAGGAAGGAGAGGGATTGGCACCACACCAGTTCCTGATTTTGTAAAAGCACGAGGCAGTCATTAGAAACTTCTGACACTACGTGTCGCTCGCACAAGGTTAAAAATTGTACTTGGCAAAAACCGCAAATGCATGACTGATCGGTCAACGAAAAAGGCGGTATTTACAATGACACGCGGCCGCTGAAAGTAAATTTGTTTTGAAGTGGATATTATCTGTCTGATGGTAGTCTACTTATCTGATAATTACATCCATGGAGCACAATCGCGAGCACTAATCAGAGACGAACTGGGCATTTTGTCGGATATCACACGGTGTCTCCACGAGTGGGACAAAAGTAGTCGACCTCACAGGGATCTACGGCCCAGATGGCATTTGTTTCCAGTAGGTGAACAAGCCAACGCCTGGTGAAATCTGACGCATATAGCAAACTGCTAATCAACGTCACAGGTCGATTAACTAGTACATCATGGCTAAACAGGGCAAATTACTTCTATTCCGGTTTTCTGGGTAGTGGTTGGAAGTGCCAGCACGGAAAGAACTCCGTAGAATAGATCATCCTGGAAATATCGGGGCAGAGGTTTTGGCAGTGGATTGCACTCGACGACACTAACTTCAAGTATGGGAAATAGCTCGAGACAATGAGGCATCACGATAATCGGTACTATGGAAATAACTAGGCAGGAAGGTGCAAATCAGTATGGAAAATTGAAATCCTACAAAGCTATGGATTTTCTTTGATAGAAGCCTGAATACTATCACCACAGCCTTGTGAACCCCACGGACCTAGTCAAGGCAATCACAAATATCGTCATCATTCATGATAATGAACTCCTCGGGTAGAGCCTGAAGTTGAATGAAGCAATTTTACACATGTTAGAGCTATACTGAAAGAGTTAATTTCGGCGAATGCAATTTTGTTAGTTGCTTTTGAACTAACCCCCGGTTACCGAAACTTAACCACGATCGTCAGTATGACCGAAGTGGGGTCACCAAAGTACGAACGCCGTTAGTTTTAATGCAAATCGTGTGAGTCGCGAGTTATTTTCGGACTTTGTTTAGGCTTTAAGTGGTTTAGGCACATATGTTTTTTTATTGAAGCCTTAACCTTTGAAAATCAACAGGAAGGGAGGACAGACACGACGTCACAGATTAGATTACCAAAAGTTCTGCTGCGAGTTGCACACACCGGACAACCCGAAATCGGAAACACAGTCTGAGCCTGCGCACGAATGTTTTGTGCCAACCACACATAATTTACCGGTGCACATTTGAAACGCCCTGATAGGGCTCAACGTGAAACTTGGCTCCTAGCAAGGAGGACAAGAACCGCCGCGTAGGTAGCGATTTCAAGCAACACCGCAAGGTCGAGAGCGCTACACCTTTACATCCACACATCCCCGTGTGATAGGCGAATTCACCAAAAGACCACAACAGTGGCATTGGCTTACGCAGAGGTAGACGCTACAATGGCAAACAAGGGCGCAGGCCAACAACTAGGGTCAAAAACGGTGTGTTGTGAGAATTAACAGGCCGCTTGTAAAAGACTCGAAGTTTCAAGGTAGGGATTAAAGTTGTGGAGCATAAATTCGACCGTACTTTTAACTGCACTAATCCAAATGGAAAGTTCACATGCTCACTTTAAATACCCTTACGTATTCGCTTTTCCCAGGTTGTCGTGGTAATAACGAGCGTAGAACAACACATTAACCGTGGAAAAGGTGATCCAACTCAATTCTCGTGCTTATGCCAAGTGGCGTGGAAATAAAACTCTAGTAAGAAGTTGTAGTGACAAACTAGTGAAGTAATCGTGGACCTGAGTAGCACAAGTGTGCTATCTTCTCGATCGCTCAATAAACAATACCAAGAATAAAATCGCCGAAATACAGATTCCTCTTCCTTATCAGACCGATTCTGTCTGAACATGTATTGAACTGCAAATGGAATCAAATTAACCCCAAAATAGTCCACTAACTACTAAATATTGGGAACAGCAAGATCGATACAGTATTCAAAAGTAGGAGTCAAACGCCAATTTTTGAGAAATCTACCTAATTTTTCTTCTTTACTCAAGTTCTTTCAGAGAGGTCTAAGCCAAATTCAAGTTTAAGGTGGATTTTAGGGGGTGTTTTGCGTGATTGACAGCTACAGTTCAAAATGACTGAATGCGCTCTACGGATGCAATGGTCCAAGTCACTTGATTAATTGGTAAAGGAGTACTCGAAATGCGTGGGATTTATCGAAACATCGTAAATACACAATGTGGGAGGACACGTAGCTTTGAAAATAGCCACTGTTTGAATTAAAATTACTGAAATCGGATGAAAACTCACATCGATACACTTATTATGTGGGAGAGGATTCTCTTTGAATGCAAATAAAACCCAGGAGCACGTCATGATATCCAGGATAGATTTACCACACTTGAGGGAACTAGACTCGCCAGGAGGAACAAAATCTATAGCGACAATTTCCGAGTGACTTAGATTTAGTTAAAATGGTGCTAACGCAAGTCAATGGTATAAACACAGCTATTTCAAGGCCATATGCGTAGATAAGCGTTTTGTGTGTCGGCCTATTGCCCGATAAAGTGTCGTACGTTCGCAAAATGTACTTGATTGTAACGGAGGGGAACGAGCTTGGGTGCAAACACGTGTGTGTCCGCCGCCTCTGCCTGTCAGATGAGAGCACGTGTGTGTGTGTGTGTGTGTGTGTGTCTGTGTGTGCGCGTAGACGTCCCGGTTGCAATGGTGTGTGTGTGTGTGACTCATGCACAAGGCGGCAGAAGTAAAGCGGTGTAAGGGGGGGGTGGAAGGGATTGAGAAATCCACATCTCTGCATACAACTACGGAGATGCCAATTTTGTGCAACTTAATTTACATACTATACAGCCTAATGGCTGTCAAACGAATTTCGCAATTGAAGGAGATGAGCTTTAAACCAGAACCAAGTAAGAATAGACACTTCCATTTCGCATAAAAAACTGATCCGAATCCCCAAATGATGATATAAAATTACCGTATTGGTGTATAATAACACACGTAACAAAATTAGAATTACGGAGTATGCAAACAGCGTTCTTCTGGTAATCAAATTGGTGACTGTTTACCAAAACAAGGGTGGGCGAAGATGCACTGGAAAGGGCTTAGTCCAACAGGCAACACAATGATAGTCCTTCAACAATACTAGGAGAAGTTTCTCATACATAGTGAATAAGTTTGGGAACAGCTCAGTTTGTAACGATTCGCAAAAGATTCATGACGTTTTTTAAAAAAAATAACAATTCTGAACATTGGAAGCCATTTCGAGGACACTTTTGATCACAAAATGGCTGTCTACTGAGAAGCAGCCAACAAGTATTAAAACGTTTTTATGCAATAGGACATTATTTTCTAAAACTATATTCGATAATTCTATTCACTTGCAAAATATAAAACCTTACGACGATAAAGAGACGACATATTTTTCCTGACTCCCATAACATGACCTAAAATAATTCTTATAAATGCAAAAACAAAAATTCGAGCTAATTTGTATTAAGTGTTGTCTGTGAGTTGATATACTAAACAAATATGAAGAGCAAGATAGATCAAAGTCATACGAATTAAGTGAACGAATTTCGAAACTCACCACCGCTTTCCCCGCAGAAGATATATCCGGAAGTACAGCAGATTTAAGTCCAAGTTTAGATTCCAGTTGTTCAACTTGTTCACACTTTGCCAAGAATTCCTTAGAAATACGCCGCTTTTCTTTAATAATTTGAGCTGCAACCATCCTCTGCCGCTGAGTTAACGCTTTCTGGTTGTTGTAATTATCGAGTGCCCTTTTTAGTTCTTTTTCCAAGCGCTTATTTTGAGTACGCTCATTTTCTAGCTATTTTTAAAAAATAACAACTTATAAACGCACAAATAAACCATAAAATTGCCGGTTTTTTCAAGCTCACCTCTATTTGAAGTTTTTCACGTTCCTTTTCCAACATTGCCACGACATCGTCACCCTGTGCAGCATCTCTCTCCAACCTCTTACGTTCTTCTTCAAAGGTGCTGCATAACGCAGCATACCTCTCTTCAGCTAAAAGCAGCTGCTCACGAAAAAATGCGTGGACATGTTTGTGAGCATCAATAAGCTCGCCCAGGCAGACTTCTTTGATATCGCTTCGAATTTCGTGTTTCACGTCCCGATTTAAGCTGTTTGAGGAGGTTTGTAAGAACCTTGAATCCCGTTGTAGTGCCAAAAATGGATCGTTAAAATCAATTTCAAAGGCTTTCTCAAGAAAATATCGATGTCGCTTGGCTTCGTCAACAAGAAAGAAACTTTGTTCACACTACAACGTTAAAATGTGATTTTGTGTACTAAATGAATACTTGTAAGGAGGCAATTAAGATGTCTCTAGCTTCAATATCTGCTTGCAATTTGGCGATCATATGTACAAGTTCTTCATAACTGAACTATAAAATATAATTTCATTAAATATTTTCATGCATACATCCGACGGACTAGTGACCTGTTCAATGGCTTCCTTCCCCTCAACCATTTTTAAAAAAGTTTAAATGGCATAAAGTCGATTAATAAAACTATCACAAATGAGAGTCATATAATAAGTCCAAATTCGTCAAAAAAGCACATTTTGCAAGGATGCGAGAAACCATAATCAATTAAATTGGTGGATTCAAACAAGGCTGCCTTCGAAATGTCAAAGTTCTGCCCTTTGTTAAAAAAATATTTTTAGTTCTAATTTAAACACTAACTTGTTATTATTTTTAAAAGGCTCAAAAAATATCATGTCGATCTACCATCTTCCTCACGTAGATGTTGCGGCTCCTTAGTGCGGTTTTGAGAAAAACACCAGGGTCAAAAATCTACGTTGACACGGTCCAACCAAAAGAAGAGCAGAAGTGCAGATAGCGCCTAGCTCACCTAATATATTTATGCAAAAGCAGTGTGCTTTTGCACAGGATAACAAGTAGGTTTATATAGCTCGTGAAGTGCACTCACGTAAATCGATTGAACCATGATCCCTCACTCTTGCAAACTGCGTTTGTCCACGATTGCTAACTGTGCTTGCTTGCTACTTGCCCATTAAAAAAAAAAAAAAGTTAGGTGATTTATGCAATCAGATCTTTTATGTGACCTAATATGCCTCGCAAATGGACGCAATTTTGGTCATTGTTATTAACATGCAATCTATCGTGTGCATAAACTTTCACTTTATTCTGCGACATTCCACTTTTCTATCTCATAATTGGCATTTAAATCAACAAAATGAGCTTTTACATACAAATGGAACGATTCAATGCTTTTTGGTGCTTGTAAAATATACATTTTGATCAGAATAACTTTGCTACCGAAGCGTCGGATATCTTTCATGGACCAAAGTAGTTCATGCTCATTTATACAATGGAGTATTTCGTAGAGGCTATACATCATTATCAACAAAAACGTTTCTTCAGCACTAATCAAGTCAGATTTTCTTGGCTCCTTATATTTTTACAACATCCAATAAGCAATTGAAGGAGAGGCTCTAACATTCAAATACCAATCATTCATTTCAGATTAATCTTAGACAAATGTAACTTCTCTTTTTCTTAAAAATTAATGTCTGATTTAAAAAATGAGGTATATGACGTACGTATTACAATGTGTATTTTAGCATTTACTATCCTTATTGATCAACTCTGTAGTAGAATATCCTTTTTGCGATGTTGTAAATCTGTTACCGCTTTGTGAAAAACATTACATTGTGTGTAACAATGCAGCCAAAAGTGTTAATCTTAATGGAAAACTGCGTGGTGGCAACTAACTCATAATGCGAACGTCACGTGTTTTTTATTATGATATATAAAAATACGATTTCTGACAAGGACATTAATTTTTCACTAGATCATGCACAGACTTGAATTTAAAACGTCAATTTCCTTGTATTATCGTGACTATCTTCTTTATTCATGCAACGATTCATAGCAGATTATGCTATCCGTTTTTAAGCATAGATTTTATAAAGTTCGATTTAGTGCCTACGAAATCCTCAAATAATGCACAGTGGATTTCACAATCGCATATTCATTAACTTACATGCCAGTGCCAGTATGGGCCATTAATATATCAAGCAAAATCATCTAAACATTCAAGTACTGCACTTTGAAATATGAGTCCTTTCGTTATTATGGAAAATTCTGATGAAAGTCTGGGTACGAACCTTGGTATTTTTTGCCAAAATGTAAACAACAGGCGGTCAATTTGGTTCGATAAGAACCATGTGATGACTTTATCGTAAAATACCGGAGCTCAAGTATAAAAAGACCGGCAAAACCGAGTAAGCAGAACCGTCAATCAGGCTCCGTACACAATTCCTCCAAAGTGACCATGCCGCTAATCGTATATTGTTTCTTATCCGTTATTTTCGCCGGCTGGCTGCTTATAATTTACATAGGATATTCAGACAACTAAAGGCAAAGTATCGACAAAACTCGGCGTGAGAAAATATGTCTGCAATTTACTGCGTTACTACAATTCAAAAGCACCATATTCCAAGACATATCATTTATTTCAGAATACTTGTAGTGTGATACAATTGTCAGGCGCCGCACAGCACGCCATTCTCGTGGTAAACTCATGGAACATTTTTCATGTTAATGCCCATAAATCTTTGTTTTACCAAACCGAGTATCGTTAAAATACTGTCCAGTTCGCCTCTCAGCAGATAATGCACAAACTTTCGTACGTTCAGGATCTTCTTTAATGTTTTACCTCATAATCGTTTCTCTTTACAAGAGTCTGAGGCGTTACTGTTATTTCCACCTGTAAAATCAGAAATGTCAAGAAGTTTTACATGGGTGCTCACAAATTCTATATAGAACATTGTTAACAGGTATTCGAAGCTACTTTCTTTTGTTTATTGTAGTGTAGGGCGTAATCATCACCCGCTAAGCAATCTCCCATGGTCCCGTTTGGTTGTCTTTATTTTCATAAAATCTTCAAGTTTTCGACTTTTTTATGCGTTAATTTGAATGTCTGCTAGGGGCAGAGTTTGTGTGAAACTCTTTACCTCGTCATTCATTATTTCTAGGTGTCAGTACCGCTCGTTACACTTCCCATTCATCTTTGTCTCCAAATAACTTCAAATTATCGCCTCTGACCATTCATTAATATAGGGACGTAGGATTTACTGAACTCCAAGTGATCAAATTTGTATGCCTCCTTGTGCATCTGTACACCTATAGAATAGCCAAGCCCTAGGATGAAGAAGACCAGCACAACAGAACGGGCTTTATTGGCTAATCACAAGCCAAACCATAAGTCAGGCACCGCCCATCCGAATCCACAACGCTGGCTATATCGCTCATTATATACTTCTTCTCATTCGTGTACTTGTCTGATTAGCTGCTTATCTTTCTCGAATGCCATTGGAACGCAGAAAGACACAGGATTGGCTGGGGCCAGGTGGTCCAATAAGTCTGCATCCTTAGACGTCACAACACTGCCTCCTCCTTAGGAGTGCAGCTGTCCTCAGCTTCTGAATTGGTTCCCTGTACTGTCGATAATTGACAGGATATCCAATTTGACACTAACCGATATCCTACATCTGGTAGGATAGTGGCCCAAGCGAATAGCAGACGAAGGACTTTGCTCTTGTAGACTTGCGGGAAGGCCACATCATCCACCGCAGGTTCCTTCTTCACTTGCAGTACAACTGGTTTCGACTGTCCATGTCATCGTCGCTAAGTTGCCAACGCCTCTTCAGATGCAGTGGTCCTAATCCCGGGCAATGTCTATGGATCCACTATATTGGACATCGGATGAACGCCATGACAAATTCAGCTGGCATTCAAGGGTCTTTGCCTGTGTTGACCACTGAAGAGAAAGGGCTGGGGTTCGATTCGCGTTATTCGAACGCATCCGCTGCCACGAATGTAGAATGCCCGAGCCCTAATAGGTAAAAGACCGGTACAACAGAACAGGCTTTATTGACCAATCACAAGCCAGCACCACGCGTCAGGCGCCTTCCATCCGAGTCCACCTCGCTGGCCACGCCGCTCATTATATACTGCATCTCATCCATGTCCT